CATGCTGAATTCTTGAAAAAATTACTTTTCAAAGGCTAGAACTGCCTCGGCAATTATTGATTCCATAATTTTTTTCCCCACTATGGAGGTTGGCTTATTAGGTACGTGTTAGGATTAATAACCATATGAAACATTATTTTTGGGGCCCTAATACTCCCCTTTAGAATCTGACTGCCTGATATTTTTCCCTATTTATATCATCTTTTTTGCAAACACTTCCCTTTTATATCTAACAAGTTAAAAACTCACGCGGCTTTTAATACCCGTTAAAAATTTAACACATCGTTTTAAAGTTTGGCGAGTGTGTGATAACTAGTAGACCTCAAAAACACCAGTCCCCGTCATTTAATACTACTTTGGGCCAGAAGCTCGAAATGGGAAATTTGCCCAGAAAATAATCAACCCCCACAAAGAGCTTGTTATACCATAAAATAGATTTTTCGTATTCAGTGAATAAAAATGCTATTTTTTAAAAATTTGGAAGCTTTTTTTTTTTTCCCTACAGTAAATGTAACATTAAATCAATGAAGGGGAATTAGGAGGGTTTTTTTTTTAAGTACAAAAAATTTCTTTAAATTTTACATTTTTTACTAGAAAAAAAACAATTTTAAAAATTTATCATCTACGAGGAAAACTACCTAATTAAAAAACGGATAAAATATCAAAATTAACTTTCTTCAAGCAATGACAAAAGACACAGAAAAATTAAACACTTTTAAATTAGAAAGGGCGCATCCTGGAGGCTTTAAAAAATAATAAAAACAAAAGGATAATCAAAAGAGTATTTTAAAATGCCCTTTTTTGGGCACCTTTGGGCATTAAAAAGTGGGGTATTAAGCGGTGACGAGTTGGTCCCCCTTTCCCCAACAAATTAAACGCCCCTTTTTAAATTGCCCTGCTGTAGTGCCACATATTCACTCAGCCCCTAGTTTCATTTTTTTATCTTTCTCAAACGTGACCCAAAGAACATCTCTATAAAACTCTTAAAAGGAATGATCAAAGAGGGGAATCCAAAATCATGGATGTTTTTCCCAAATCACATTTTGAGGAAGGCGGGACAAAAACTGGGAATGAATGAATTTTGGGGTTTCCTAAACCGGGGAAAAATTTTAAAGGCAACTTTGTTTTCCACATTGCAGATTCATTTGTTTCACAAAACCCTGCTTAATGCCTAAAATTTGACGTAGGGGAAAGGGTTTTAGCAGTAAAGGTCGAAAACCCAAAACTGGGCATTGGGTAGTCTACAAGCCCCGGGATGCAAAAACCCAGAAATTCCAGGAACGCTGAAAAAAAATTGACCACTTTCGGGAAAATCTTCCAGCTCCTGCACCCAACATTTTTGCTCCTGGGGGTTTTTCAATTTAAAAGCACCCAAAAAATGGAGGAATAAGCAAAAAAATAATTTTTGCAGTAATAAAAACCCGGACAACTCCCGATGAAAATCACACTCACACGAGCTTTTAAAAACTCTGCACAAAATTCAATTTAAAAACCCGCAAAAAAGAGGGGGAAAAGACTGGGGAATACCCCCAGAACCTCATCTTTACAACAAAAAAGGGTCTGATAAGAAAATTTACCATAAACAAAAAAAAATATACTCAGAACAAAACATAATTTAAAGGGTTTTGACCAAAAGTAAAAAGCTGGAGCCCCCCTACCGACAAAAGGACAAATCACGAGGGACATTTACCAAAAACAATTCAATAACCAAAAAAATATAGTGGGACCAAGTAAACCAAATCCTAACCGAAAAAGCTTGGGGAAATATAAAAGCAACACAGACCCAAACCCTTTTCCCAAACAGATTAAAATCCGGGGGGCACTCGATGTTGCACAAGGGTTTTTTCCCCCTAAAAAAAGGAGGAGTAGAAATTTAAAAAAGAAAAGACAGGGGCCCCCCTTTTCAGGCGACGAAAAGAAAAAAAAGCGGGCTAAAAAAGGGCAAAATATCTGAAATGCCAGGGAAAACCTGGGCAGGGGAAATAGGGAAGCATCGAAATTAAGCAAAAAAATCCTTTTGGAGCCCGGAATTTGCGGGAAAACTAAAAGCCCCTAAAAGAAATCGAAAAAAAACCCAAAGTATTTTTTCTCCCCAAACCCAAAACAAAATCGAGAACAACGCCAGTTTGGGCCCCTTTTTAAAAAAGATGGGTCCTAAAACAGATGACAACAAGGAAAAGAGTTTAGCACTCAAGTCCTTATGACTCAGTTTTTAGCAAGCCGCTAACCAGACAGAGTCCCCAAGATCAAAAAAAAAAGAATTTTTTTTTGAGAGAGCCCCAAAATTTGATTAAAAACAAGCCTATCCGAGTTTTCCTGACGCCCAAAAAGACTTTGAACAGGCGTTAAAGCATGCCCATGCCCCTGCCCCGGGCCAGACTCATGGAACTCTGTTTCATCAAGAACTGCAAGAACCCCTATCACGAGCCTTTTTTTCCCCCTAGGAGAAAGGGGGCATGGAAAACGGGGGTTCGTCCCTCAGTTTCTAAAAACAACAGACATTTGCCCCACTCCACAAAGGGGGGAGTAAAGCAACACAAAAAAACCCACAGGGCCAATAGCACTAACTCCCATAACATAAAAATCTTTGGGAAAAGGGGCCCCAAGGGAAACAAGACACCACCCCTCTAAAACCCTCAGTTTTTAAAAACCCGGGCAACATGGGTTTAGAACAGGTCGCTCCTGTCTGTCTCAACTACTGGATCACTACGACAAGGTCCTAAATGCACTAGAAGACAAAAAGAATGCAGATGTAATATATACAGACTTTGCAAAAGCCTTCGACAAGTGTGACCATGGCGTAATAGCGCACAAAATGCGCGGTAAAGGAATAACAGGAAAAAGTCGGTCGATGGATCTATAATTTCCTCACTAACAGAACACAGAGAGTAGTCGTCAACAGAGTAAAGTCCGAGGCAGCTACGGTGAAAGCTCTGTTCCACAAGGCACAGTACTAGCTCCCATCTTGTTCCTCATCCTCATATCCGACATAGACAAGGATGTCAGCCACAGCACCGTGTCTTCCTTTGCAGATGACACCCGAATCTGCATGACAGTGTCTTCCATTGCAGACACTGCAAGGCTCCAGGCGGACATCAACCAATCTTTCAGTGGGCTGCAGAAAACAATATGAAGTTCAACGATGAGAAATTTCAATTACTCAGATATGGTAAACATGAGGAAATTAAATCTTCATCAGAGTACAAAACAAATTCTGGCCACAAAATAGAGCGAAACACCAACGTCAAAGACCCGGGAGTGATTATGTCGGGGGATCTCACCTTCAAGGACCATAACATTGTATCAATCGCATCTGCTAGAAAAAAGACAGGATGGATAATGAGAACCTTCAAAACTAGGGAGGCCAAGCCCATGATGACACTCTTCAGGTCACTTGTTCTATCTAGGCTGGAATATTGCTGCACTCTAACAGCACCTTTCAAGGCAGGTGAAATTCCCGACCTTGAAAATGTCAGGAATTTCACGGCGCGCATAACGGGAAAAAAACCCCCAATTACGGGACGTTTGAGGTTTCTAAACCTTATTCCCTGGAACGCAGGGGGGAGAGATAATGTTTTATATACCCTGGAAAATCCAAGAGGGATGTACCGAATTTACACGAAATCACTCACTACGAAAGCAAAAGACTTGGCAGACGTGCACCACCCCCCCAATAAAAGCAGGGGTGCACTAGCACGTTAAAGAGACCATACAATAAGGTCGGGGGCCCGAGATTTTAAATTGCCTCCCAGCACCATAAGGGGATTACCAACAACCCTGCGCTTCAATTTGGGACTGGGGAAGCACCTAAAGTCGTTTCCCGATCAGCCGGGTGTGCTCGTACGTTGGTTTGGGGTCGCCCGCGCAACAGCCCGGGTTTATCGGGGGATCCACCCGGGGCCCGGTCACGACCGGCCGCGGGGGCGTTGACCCCCGGGGAAATTTCCGGTAAACTCCGGGGGAAAAAAGCTCCCTGGGAGTTTGATATGTTTGAAAAAAAAAAGTTCAACCGTCACGCGAATCCGACTTTGGACCCGATGGTGTCTAATCAATGGAACAAAAATTTTGCTGGGAAAAACAAAAAAACAAAAGCCTGGCATAAAATACCGACAGGTTAAATTTCACCCCCCCCCAACACAGGAAACAGTTTAAAGTCATGGGGGTACTATGCCATCTCAAATACAGTTCCGTCAGGTCAACCCCTTCTTACACCTCATTTATTTTGAAACATTTCAAATAAATTGTCTCAAAGGGTTTTTAACCTCTCCATAAATAATAATAATTTTTCCCCTTCCTTTCCCCCAAAAAAAATTAACAGGGATGAAAAAGTTTAGGCACACATAACCCCCCAAAAAAAAATCACAACCTTGCGCAACAGCTCACAAATAAACCCACTTTTTGGGGAGGACACTTTCTGGTTCAAAATTTTGACCTCTAAAGTGGGGGAATTTTGGTGAATTATAGCCAAAATTACCCCTAATTTGTTTCGTTTTTTTTTAGGCTTTCCTACCAAAGCAGTGAAGACAGGGAAGTTTATCCTTTTCTTTGTCCATTTCTTGGTTGGTTGTAAGTTTAATGGTAAACTCTTGTCCACGTCTCAGCACCAGACGAGGATGGTCTCCCTGCATCAGATGGTAGGAGCTGGTGTGGTGACTGCTGCCATTTTCACCAGTCATCAGGTCAAAGTCCTTCACCACCAAGAAATCTGCCAAGGGATAAATGTGGTCACAATTTACATTTGCCAGAATTTTACCTATAATTGGGAAAAAATAAAGTATCACAATATGTATTCCATACTTCCGTAATAAAATATAGGGTAATAAGAACATGCATAATAAGAACTTTTAACGTAAGTTTAGTAATTCATTCAAAATTCTGAAATGTTGCAAAATACTTTTAAGAGATTTTCACCTCAGATAAGTCGAAAATTATAATACTCAAAACAGATTACAGCACAAGTTTATAATGCTATCCCAGTCAATTAGTTAAACTGGAGCTGTCTCTTACGATCCTTGACTTCGGGAGAAACGTTGCAGATTAAGAAACTCATTATACTGCATTTGTGTTTATTTTTCCAAGGCGCCTTAGTGATGGCGAGACTCTACATATAAGAAACTAGATATATCCTCCCCCTTCCTTGCAGTGAACCTGATTGCCTCCCATTTCCCAGGCGATATACGACTCCCTGTGAGTTTAGCGCTTCCCACTATCAACAGTAATAGAGGCAGTCATCTATATGATGATTTTAATTAAAATGCGATTGAAAAAGTATGCCCAAAACTGAACACATTTTTTCAATCACATTTACAAGAATCACTAAATGAGCTTTACAAGATCTGCTGTACTGTAAAACCACTATTATGTCGTATCTTCTGGAAGAATAGGTAGCGTGGAAGGTTACTAAAGGCGACAGACTAGTATGGTTTTATTCTTCAAATGGGTTCACGGGCAAGACGTGTAGGGGGTAGGCATTGACGGGAGGTCAAGTAGGCGGGGAGTGAGGCAGATGCCAGACCACAATCTACCTGTCACTTGCGAAACTAGGCCTAGGCCAGTAACTCACCCTAGTGGGAAGTATGTGAAATTGGTGAGTAGACTTACTGTCTACAGTACAACTAATAATAATAATAATAATAATAATAATAATAATAATAATAATTTGGTGTATTTCAATCCCTGCACGATCCAAGAAAAGTATCCCAGTGTTGAACGTGAAAGGAATAATGCAGAATATGGCACATGGACACTAATATCCAAATTTTTCATAAAAAATGGGAAAGTTGGACATGTACTGTCCAATGAGATTAAACGTGGCAAAATAGTATCTACACACTCCAGTTATAATACCAACCTTCTTCTAAGAATTAATGCTGCTATAATTACCGACAGTATATTAGGTGAAAGGACACAAGTGCAACTAATGTGACATTTTATTGTCACTCTCCAGGAGCTTTGACAAGCCGTAGCTCCTGGAGAGCGAAATGTTTCCACGATAAAATGTCACTTTAGTTGCACTTGTGTCCTTTTACCTAACATTCTCCTAAGTAGGACACACCAGTGTTGAAATTTTGAAAGCTGGTCAGAAGAGTCATTCTCCAGCTATTACACAGATTCATTTTCTTAAATTAATTTAGTGTACTGACAATTTTGTGCACACAAACATGTTAATTTTTCCACTGTAATCTACCTTGTCCATAATTACTATCGCACTTGTTTTCTATGTTTCGTAATGTGATGTCTAGGATGTTTCCTTAATTTATGGTATAACTTAACAAATCTTTGAGGACACTTGTGTTGTAGAGGTCTGAGTAAAGTTCAGACCTCTACAACACAATGGGTACCATCTTGTTCATAAGATACTACATCACTAAATATTAAAGCTATTCAGTAGAGGTAGATTTAACTATAACGCGATTTGGCGAGAATAAAAGTCACACTGTTCCACACATAAAATTGGCAAATGTGTACCTACACGTTTTAATTTCGCTGTTGCCAAATTAGGACGCAACCTTCTTGAACGTTTGAAACCAAGCAGAAGAGGGTTTTGGAAATTATTGGAGTCATTGTAGATAAATGGCTCAGACAACCAAGTTGATATATTAGACATGTACAACACTTGAATACCTTCACTGAAGAAGCCATTGTGTGGCAGAACGTATCACAATAAAGATACTTAAGTGTCGGGCATGTGTCTAAATTATCATCAGAGCCATTACAGTAATTTCAGAATAAGTCCAGCAATCTTGTTTACAGAGCACCTGTACATGCCAGTAGCAAAAATATTGCCCTAGGTACTATACACCAGCACTGAAAATTTGAACGAGGTAAAAACAAAAAGTTGATAGGAAGGAAAATAAAAGAAAATAATGAGAAAAATACAAGGAACTACTTGAAGATCCCTCTTGTATGCCCTGTTGGGTTTATATTTCGCATCAGGCTCCTTTATATTTCGCACCAAGCTTGTGCTGCCATCTCACGGGCTTAGGCCTAGCTTCAGTCCGTAAGATGTTGCCTTCTTCTATCACAGCCGACAGCCTATAGACAGGCTCGGGGCCTGGTTGGCTCCCAGGGCAAGCTTAGGCACACTATTCAAGAACCCAATAAAGCTCAACGTCGCCTCCGAAGAGTATTATTAACACTACCAAATACCACATACATTATACCATGATCTTGTCAACTGAAACTATTAACTGCAAACCATAATTTTTCAAGGGGTGGACCGGTAAGCCAGCGGAAGGCCTCGGTCAGATGACCAAAAACTCCAACGACGGGTCATCATATGACTATGACCCGCGTCAGGAAACACTTGTCCTGTTTTCTGACAAACCTTACCTAACCCAACCTATTAACTGCACCAAACAGATACAGCAGTTAAATTTCAAGTAAATAAACAGACGAACGCTTGTGATCCTTCAGCTTACTGCAAACACCTTGTTATTGAGATCGGTGGATAAATTCCAGTTACATGAGTCCCGGCCTGTTTTGGGAGTAGCCAGAAACACAAATTGCCACGATCTGCATGGAAACATCACTTGTTCAAATCAAGAAAAAGTAAAGCAAAGAAGGGAGGTACCACAATATTGTATAATGAACCCAGAGCTGCAGAGGGCGATGCCAATCCATTATTTCCTCTATGCCAAACAAGTTTATAAAAACATGTGAATAGTGTATTAATGTTGGTAGAATTACCGACAATATGTTAAATAAAATGATGGAAGTGCAACTAATGTGACATTTTATTGTGGCAACATTTTGCTGGAGAGCGAAACGTTGCTACAATAAAATGTCACATTAGTTGTACTTGTGCCCTTTTACTTAATATAAGAATAGTGGATCACTGCAGACAGCCTACTGGCCCATGCTAGGTAGGCCTAACTTATCCCCACTCATACACTGTCCTTATTTTTTAAGCTATCCGAAGTTCTCTATTTCTCTCTGCCTCTGGTCCTAGAATTTTGCTGCAGTACCTGACTATTTTGGAATCTATACTTGACGGACCAAGTCAATTTAGTGCAGATCAAAATCCGACATCTTTGTTTCAATTCTTCAGGTATGCTACAGGTATTAGTGACCACATTCTGCACGGTGTCCGGTAGCTCGGTTGGTAGTGCACTCAGCTCACACAATGAGGTCTGTGGTTCGATCCCTGGTATGAGTGGAAACATTAGGGCGTATTTCCTTAAAACACCTGCTGTCCCTGTACACCCAGAAGTAAAATTGTTACCTGGGTGTTAGTCGACTAATGTGAGTCGCATCCTGGGATCAAAATTAACCTAATTTTCCCGAAATGCTCTGCATGACAAGGGGCTTTCTATATATGTAGTATGTTGATGATGTCAGCTAAGTCTGTGTACGTTGTACATATATTTGTAGAAAAAACATTATTATTATTAATTATTATTATTATTATTATTATTATTATTATCGTATCCATTACTCCTCACGAAAATCACTCACTACGAAAGCAAAAGACTTGGCAGACGATGCACCATCCCCCCAATGAAAAGCAGGGGTGTCACTAGCACGTTAAGAGACCATACAATAAGTGTCAGGGGCCCGAGACTGTTCAACTGCCTCCCAGCACACATAAGGGGGATTACCAACAGACCCCTGGCAGTCTTCAAGCTGGCACTGGACAAGCACCTAAAGTCAGTTCCGGATCAGCCGGGCTGTGGCTCGTACGTTGGTTTGCGTGCAGCCAGCAGCAACAGCCTGGTTGATCAGGCTCTGATCCACCAGGAGGCCTGGTCACAGACCGGGCCGCGGGGGCGTTGACCCCCGGAACTCTCTCCAGGTAAACTCACCACGGGCAGGTTATGCCCAAGAGTGCTTGATACCAGCCCAACATAAGTTAAGGGCCCCACACTGCCCTTATACACACAAGCAAGGGACCCCAAAGAATGTGCTAATAACCCAACACAGGGGGTCTCCACCCACAGTGCCTGGTACAAGCCCAACACACCAGCCAGTGACCTTAGTGTCTAGCAATACCCCAACAATAAGATGAGCACTACCATACAAGTTAGTCTACGTGTCTACGACTAGCACTACCATACAGGTCAGTTTACGTGTCGAAAACGAGCATTACCATACAAATTAGTCTACGTGTCCAAGACTAGCACTACCATATAAGTCAGTCTACGTGTAGTTAGTTGCTCAACACATTTCCTTTCCCACCGCCTCCCTCCACCAGTTGGCCTTGGCCCTGACAGTCTAATAAACTAATGGAGGTGATTCACCACGACCCCTTGACCCTCAGCCCCTACTCTTCTCACTCCAGCTTCATTGGAAAAACGGGAGAGGGAAAAAAGGCTGTTTTCTTCACGATACGAGCAGTTTGCTTAGATATTCTTTGTCTTCCCCTTGATTATACGACCCGTATGCTGTCTTCTTGTTTTGGATTCATTGGTGTCTGCTGTTACCATGGAGGGTTCAGTGGTGTCTTGTCAGCAGTGTCTGTTGTCACCATGGTGGGTTCAGCAGTGTCTGATGTCACCATGGTGGGTTCAGCAATGTCTGATGTCACCATGGTGGGTTCAGCAGTGTCCGTTGTCACCATGGTGAGTTTATCAGTCTGTTGTCACCATGGTGGGTTCAGCAGTGTCCGTTGTCACCATGGTGGGTTCATCAGTGTCTTTTGTCACCATGGTGGGCTCAGTGGTGTCTATTGTCACCATGTCCATGGTGGGTTCAGCAGTGTCTTTT